AAAAATATTCAATTTAAAGGAAAAAAATTTCCAAGGACAGTGCAAGAAGACAAAGGCAAATATAATGAAATGTGCAAAGACTTAGACTTAGAAAACCAAAGGGAAGAATATTTGCTCAGCATATCTGAAATTGAAAAAACTCAAGAAAAAGTTCAAGCCTCGAGTTGCAATCTTGAAAGATTCTATGGGCAAAATATTGAATGATGCTATCAATGTGAATGAGGGGGAGTGCAGAGTGGAGACCCAAATCCTGCCTTTATATAGACAATTGGACATCCTCTTATAGAAGGGTCACAAGGAAGAGACAAGCCAGTCAGGGTACAGTATAGCACAGGGTACAGTATAGCCAGTCAGGGTACAGTATGGCAGGGTACAGTAAAGCATACAACTTTCCTCTAGTTATTTAATACTTCCTTCCCCCACAATCATGATGCCAATTCTAACTTACAAAACTAGCTAGACCAAAGCATGTACATGGGTACAGATAAGAGTTGGAAACACAGGGAATCCAGGACAGATAGATAAACCCCTGGGGACCAGTGGTGGGAGTGGCAATACCAGGAGAGTAGAGGGGAGAGAGAGGGAACCGGTCACAATGATCTACCTATAGCTTCCTCCCAGGGGAACAGACGGCAGAAAAGTGGGTGAAGGGAGACGTCAGGCAGTGTGGGATGTGAAAAAAATGTATGAATTATCAAGGGTTCATGAGGGAGAGAGAGTGGGGAAGGGAGGGGGAAAATGAGGAGCTGATGCCAGGGGTTCAGGTGGAGGGAAAATATTTTCCCTCAATACAAATGTGCTTGACACAATGGATCTATGTATGGACTGTGATGAGGGCTGTATGAGACCCCCCCCAACAATTATTTTTTTTAAGAGAGAAAATATATATATTGAATGATGCAGGAAGCATCAAAAGAAGATGGAAAGAATACACAGAGTCACTGTGCCAAAAGGAACTAGTTGACATTCAACACTTTCAAAAAGTAGCATATGAACCAATGGTGCTGAAGGAAGAAGTGCAAGCTGCACTGAAAGCATGAGCCAGAAACAACGTTCTGGGACTTGATGGGATGCCAATGGAAAGGTTTCAGCAAACTTATGAAGCACTGGAAGCATTCACTTATCTAAGACAGGAAATTTGGAATACAATTACTTGGCCAACTGACTGAAAGAGGTCCATTTTGGGGCCCATTCCAAAGAAAGGTGGCCCAACGGAATGCTCAAACTATAGAACAATATTAATGATGTCACAGGCAAGTAAAATTTTACTTAAGCTCATGGTTGAACAAGAATGGTTGAAGGGAACTGCCAGAAGTTCAGGCAGGATTCAGAAGAGGACATGGAATAAGGAATATCATTGTGGGTGTCAGACAGATGTTGGCTCAAAGCAGAGACTACCAGAAAGATGTTTACTTGTATTTCATTGACTATGGAAAGGCATTCGACTGTGTGGACAATAATAAACTATGGATAGCCTGAAGACGACTTCGTATTACACACTTTGGACACTTTGTCAGGAGAGACCAGTCCCTGGAAAAGGACATCAAACGTGGTAAGGTGGAGGGAAAGAGAAAAAGGCCCTCAGGGAGATGGCTCGACACAGTGGCTGCAACAATGGGCGTAGGAATAGTTGTGAGAATGGGACAGGACTGTGCAGGGTTTCTTTCTGTTCTGTAAGGGGTTGTTATGAATTGGAACTGACTTGGTGGCACTTAATAAAAACAACAACACTACACACACAGAGTGACTAAATTAAAAAATATTGACAGCAACAAAAGTTTGCAAGGATGCTAAGAAACTGAATCGCATATTACTGGTGGGAATACAATATGGTACAGACACTGTACCATTTCCCAAAATATTTGGGATTTTTTTTGCTAATTTCTTTTTAAAATGAATTATATTGCATTATTGTTAGGTGCCATGGAGTTGGTTCTGACCCATAGTGACTCCATACACAGCGGAATGAAACACTGCATAGTTTGCACCATCCTCACAATTGTTCCTATCGCTGATCCCATTGTGCTGCTACAGTGTCCATCCACCTCCTTGAGGGCTTTCGACTCCTTTGCTGTCCTTCTCCGGGGAATAGTCTCTCCTGACAACATGTCCAAAGTATGTAAGCTGAAGTCCTGTCATCCTTGCTTCTAAGGAGCATGCTGACCATACTTCTTCCAATACAGATCGGTTTGTTAGCAGTCCATGGTATCTTTAATATTCTTCATCAGCACAATTTAAATTCAGGTTCTTCTTCAGTCTTCTTTATGGAATGTCCAACTTTCTCATGTATATGAGGCAATGGGAAACATCATGGGTTGGGTCGGGGTACCTTAGTCCTCTAAGTTAACAGCCTTGTTTATCAATACTCTAAATAGGTCTATATAAATGCCTCGGAGTGACATTTTTGGGTTATATGGTAGTTGTATGGGAGTTCATAGTTTGGGGTTATATGGTAGTTCATATGAAAACTGAATCATACTACTACCAAAATTTTCACTCCTGGGTGTTTACATAGAAATGAAAGTTTATGTTCATGCAAAAACCTGTACATGATTGTTTATAGTAGTTTGATTTGAATATATAGAAAGTGAAAACAATACAGGTACTTCTCATGGATGAATGGCTAAACAAATCATGGTATACCAATAGTATGGAATACTGCTCAGCAATGAAAAGGAACAAATTGTTAGTACTGTAACAGCCTAGATTGGTCTCCAGAGACTTATACTGAGTGAAAAATACCAACCTCAAACATATTATATGACATTATTTATGTAATTGTTTTGAGATGATAAAATTGTAGAAACAGAACACAGATTAGTAGTTGCCAGAGATTAAAGAAGATTTGAGGGAGAAGGAAAGGGGAACTACATACAACATGAAGAATCCTCTTTGGAAATGGTTTCTCTTTTTACTATATTGATAAGGAATATCCTGATTGTGACATTGTAGTTTAATTTCGCAAAATGCTATTATTGAAGAAAAGCAGGTAAAAATATATGATATTTCTTATTATTATTACAATTGCATGTGAAACTACAATTATCTCAAAATCAAAAGTTTAATTAAAAAAGAAACAGAGATAATAAAATGATCTTGGAACTCAAGGTTACTTATATAAAGATATATATATATATATATATAAATGATTTGTAGGGCATACATTTAAATTGATATCATGAATATTTTAAAGCACTATGAGAATAGGAAACAACATTTTAATTAAATCAACAAACCTTGGGACTAATCATCTTTAAAATATCAAAAATAATATGGACCAAACTTCATATATATTCCTGCTGTTAAAGGTAATGATTCTAAATCTTAAGGAAGATTGTTAGACTAGATTTCGTGATGGTGTATTATTATTTTTACAGTTCTGTAATGATAGTATTGTTTCACTTGTAATGATAGCACATATTACTTTTCCCATTTGAAAATATGGAGTTAAAAATGTGTTTAAAGAAAAAAATAAAAAGCATTGTTTGAATTGCTAAAAAAATATATATATAAATGTAAAGACTGAGAATTCTGATATGTACTGAAATATTAGCAGTGGTTTCTAATGTACTGAAATATTAGCAGTGGTTTCTAATACATAATGAATTAAAATATAATAATCTCAAAGGGTTTGGTAAACACAATTAAATTTATTGGCATTTCAATTACATAACACAACTGCTCTACGTATATTCTTAACATTTGGGGTCCATCTGTTTCTCCAGATTATCTCCAGTCAGTTCTTCCACTGTCAGTTACTTACCATTCACTTAAGAATGAACCCTTACTTTCCTAGACCTCCGTATCACTGCCTGTTCTGTTGTTTCCTGCTTCATCACATCTGAGTTCAGTAGTATCTCCTGTGAACTTCTCCCTAATATACCTCTAGGCCAATAGGAATCCCTACGCTTCAGTAAAATATTCATCTAAAATTATTTGTATTTCATTTAGATGAAAAAATTTCATCTAAAATCATTTGTGCTGGGAGGTCTTTGACGGGGTTTGTACCCTTTGAACATGATTTTCCCAGAGGCAAGCACAATGTCAGACATACAGCAGATATAATCAACTGGATTATAGTTTTGAAGAACACCAGTCAACTACTAAAAAATGAAGATTTAGTTTAACAGAATAGCATTACAGTTACAATTGAACTGTGAAAGCCACAACATGGTTCTCTAATTGCTATGTCAGTGTGTTGTACAATCCTCCTGGCTAAAAGTAAATGCAAAGGACATGCTCAAAGGTGGAGTTTCTGCTACGTTCTTGAATTGTTTGGAACACAGTTATCATAAATTAATATTTGGATTTTAAAATAAGAAGTTGGAAGACATGGCTTGATGTAATGCTTTATAAAAATGTTGCTTCTCAGGACCCAGGGTCTCTGCACTGGGAATCTCCTAGACCCAGAGGAAAATTGAGACAAAATACACAGAGAGCTCCAGGTGATGACTGGCCCCAGGATTTTGTGACAAGGACCTTCCCTCAGAGCGGACACATGGGGAGAAAGTCTTCTGTTAGCGGTAGTGCCCTGAATTTGAACTTCTGGTTTCCTAAACTGAGTGAGAATAAATCCCTGTTGGCTAAGGTCACTTAATCGTGACGTGTCTCTATTTGTATCAGCCTTAAAGGAGACTGATGCAAAATTTAGGAAGAGGAACTCCAAACTGGAAAACAAAAGTAAGGATGCTCACTCATTTGTTTTTTCACAACTTTAAAATGGGCACAGACATAAATATTACTCAGTGAACACAGCATCTAAATGTCATGTTGGAAATCAAATGGGATTTAGAAGACTGTAGTTAAACATTGTGCTATTAGCCATAAGACTGGCAAATCAAAACCACCAACTCCTCCCAGAGAAAAAAATGAGTCTGTCTGCACCTACAGAGATTACTGTCTTGGAAATTCTTTTTCTTTAAATGTTGCTTCTCTGAAGCTGTAGCAATTGACAGTTTAATAAGGAATTTTTTACAAACCTTGAAATATGTGTTACGTACCATTTCAATTTCTTGATCTTTAGCAATCAGCTGCCGATTAAGAAGCTCTTTGCTTGAGTCCAGTTTAATGCAGAGTTCCCTTGTGGAAGACAAATCTGCAAGCGCAGACACTTTTTCAAACTGAACCTTCTGAAGCTCCTCTTCCATCTTTACAACAGACTTGTGTAACGTACAAATCTGGGACTTGTAAGACCTTTCTGCATTTAAGTGCTGCAAATGCAAGATTATTATTTTATATAAGCATATGAATTTGAAAACAGTTGCAACATGAAAAACAAAGTGGGTTAAATCTCTTAATGATAGTGCACTCAGACAATGAAGATTTTTAGTAGCTCTAGTTAATAAGAGTATGCATAAAACACTCAGGAAAGATAAGTTCAGTCCTGAGATTTCCATAAATTTGAGCAGGTGATCAACTGATTATTCTTTTTAATTTGCTTTTAAAAGTATGTCATCCCACTTAAAAAGTCTCCATCCCCAAAGCATGTTGAGGTATATGCATTTGTTCTATAGTGCTAACCATACTTGTCACAATTTCAAATTTATCTAAGTAAAAATCTTGTTAAAGACAAAGATTATCTATTGTTTCATTCACAAAACTAATGTTATAACAATCTTAATATGACAAAATTTGGACTGATAACTCTCTTATGAGTATCTCTAGAGGGAAGCTATTAAGGGTAAGCATAAATTAAGCATGCACTGACACACACGCAGGCACCCAGACACTTTGTTGTTGGGTGCTGCCCAGTTGGTTCCAACGACTAGCAGCCCTATGTGCAATAGAACAAAACACTTTCTGGTCCAGCACCAGTTTCACAATCATTGCTGGGTTTGAGCCCATTGCACAGCCACTGTGTCAATCCCTGTCATTGAGGGGCTTCCTCTTTTTCACTGACCTCCAACTGTATGAAGCATGATGTCCTTCTACATAGACTGGTCCCTCAGATGAAGAGGCCCAAAATACGTGGGGAAAAGATTCTCACCAGGAGAGTGTAAGAGGCCTGGTAGGGTGTGATCAAGGGTAATGTAACCAAGAGGAATTACTGAAACCCAAATGAAGACTGAGCATGATAGTGGGACAGGAGGAAAGTCAAGGGAAATAGAGGAAAGAGCTGGGAGGCAAAG